CAGGACCCGACCCCGGAAGCCGGCGGCGCCCGCAGCTCACCTTGAGCCCCGCCCTCCAGGCAGCCCGCGGCACCGCCGGGAATGCGCATGGTTGGCCGTGCGGCGCTCGCGTCGGGTTTTGCGACCCTGCCGTAACGCGGCACCGCGCGCGCTCGCGACTCTGCCGTGTGGTGCGGAAAGTGGCGGGGCGGCTATGGCGGCGCTCCGCTCCGGCCCGAAGGCCCTACGGTCGCCTCTGTGCCGCGGCTTCGCGGGCGGCGGCTCCCGGCTCGCTCCGGAGCGCAGGGCCGAGCGGAGGGACGCGGCGCCCGGCGGGGTAAGGGGTCCCGGGGGCGGCGGGGCCCCGGAAGCGCCCGCGCAGGTCGTAACCTCGGCGAGAGAGTCCCGCACCTGACCCTGGAGGATGATCGCGCGTGGGGTGCGGAGAGCGCTCGACGCGGACAGCGCGTCCGTCTCGTCCTGTGCTTTTGTTTGGGCCTCGTGAAGCTTGTTCGGGCTTTTCTGTAAGCGGTGGCTGGCCTTTTCCAGCTTTTGTGGGACTTGACGTTGAATAGATCTTTGCAAACGCGCACGGAACGGGCGAGGGATCCGGAAGGAACGTCTCCAGCGGGAAAGAATGGCGCGCCGTTTTTATAACTTGCGCATCTTTCGGGGAGGGTGTTTTGTTTAAGGGAGGCCTAAACCTTGACCTCATCTGTCAGATGAAAACGTTGACTGTGTGGAATGGGCTGCAGATAAAATATTTAAACAACGCACACAAACACTAACAATTCATTTACTTCCAGGCTAGTGAGGGAGGCTGGCAAACTTGGTTTAAAACAATAATTAAGGAAGGACAGAAAAGAGCCAATTAAGGGTTGCAAAACGTGCCAGCCTTGTTCATTTCATTTCTGTTGGACTGGGGCTCTCAGCACACTTGTACAAATGTGGCTTTGAAGTCCAGTCTAGTTTACAGTTGAGATAAGCTGTTACCAGGGCAAGTTGTCGCCCAGGCCCCGGGCGCAGTTCCCTGGCACGGTGGCCATGGCCCTAACTTCTGTTCCTAGAACGTAGGAACTCCCCCAGCGCCTCGGTCGGAAGACACAATAGGTATCTGAACACGCTCTGGGGGCGCAAGGAGGAACCCGGCCAGCAACTTTCCCAAGGAGAGTGGTTTCCCTCCCTTATTTCATTGTTTATTTGTTTTTCTTCCGGTACCAGGAATCGAACTCACGACCTTGCACTTGCCAGACAGGCGCTGTGCCGCTGAGCTAAATCCCCAGCCCCTTTCCTTCCCTTATTTCATTAACGGTTGCTGGAGAAAAACAGCAGCACCCTAAGGTGGTCATAGAGGCCCCATTTAAAATAAGTTTTACTGAGTGTCGTGGGAGAGCTATGCCAGCAATACGAGTGACATGAGTTTCATCAGCTGTACGCTGCGGTAAGGCGCGAGCTTGCTGGAGACTCTGCCCTGTGGTGCGGAAGGTGGCAGGGGTATCCATAGCTGAGTACTCACTGTTTTCCTGTATGGCCAGTGAGCTAGACGATCGCAGGTTCTTTCATTCCAATTTTAATTAGTAATATCTATAACACTCAAGTCACACATCCTACTTAAGGCAGGAATATACAGATAACAAAAAACTATGGGAAGTTTAACAAAGCTGGGCAGAGTGGTACACACCTGTAGTCCCAGCTTCCTGAGGCTGAGGCAGGAGGATCTTAAATTCGAGCCCAGCCTGGGAAATGTAGCAAGACCCTGGCTCAAAATTAAAAGCTATTTTAAAAAGGAGGGAGCTGGGGTTGTAGCCCAGTGCAGAGGCCCTGGTGGTTGCGAGATTTGAAGACAGGACTGAAAGCAAAGGCCAGGGAGACAAGAAGAGTCACACACATATGATACAGACCAGGCAGGACTTTCTTAGGGAGTCGCCGGGCTTGTTGAGAGTGCAGAGTTGGCTCAAGGCTTGGTCTGGGTGGCAGGCAGTTAGGTGGGCCTCGTCGGGCACGGAGGTCTTAGGTGAGCTGAAGCCAGGGCACAAAGCTGGGTATCACCTATCCGGCCGGCTGTTCACCAGGTGGTCTGATGAGTGGATGTGTGGGCGTGTGCGCTGCTATATCCTAGTGTTGGATGCTCCTCCTCTTGTGTGATTCAGGCGAGGGGCTTGTGTCATTTGTTGGTCTGCTGTGTCCAATTGTAAGAGGCAGTTTAGCTAAGTAGGCAGACAAGAGTTGAAGATGGCTTTGGGCTGGTCAGCCTTAGGAAGAAAACAGCGTAGACACAGATTTAAGGGTTAATCTCAAGCCATCTGCATTACTAAGCTCAACCAGCCAGCGCGGGTAACTCCTCCCCCTTTTACTTTGTTGTCGCTAATTACACGGCAGGATTCCTAACTGGACAAAGAGTGACCCGTGCAGGGCCACTACACGGCCACTACACTCTCCATTTCTCTACAGGTGTGGTAGAGCCAGGACAGCCCATACCCAAATTCTATCTGCTAAGCCCACCTTGACCTGGTAAGGCCACCTAGATATAAACGACCCTAGACAGCCACCCTGGCCACCCATTTCATGACCCCTCCCAGCTGGGAGCTCTCTTTCTTAGACTTGTGATGAACGTCCTCGTCACCACCTCCCTTTTGGCAGAGATCTCATTCTTCTGCTCCGGGAGGCAGTGGCCCAGTTTGCACAGTATCACAGTACGCTCGTGGGGCCGGGCTTTCTCTGCTGGAACTCGGGTGTGTCATGTGCTCCTGATTTAGTCTGATAACCTCGTAGGTTGTCATTCTTTATTAGTACGAGGAATGTGTTCATCTGTGTCCTCTGAGTGTGCTGGACAGCTGAGATGGTTCTTTCTGGTGAGTTTAGTGTGTCTGGCATCTGGTGCTGATCTGTCTGCAGACACGGAGCTAGGGCGTTCTGTCTCAGGGTTTGTACTCTGAATGGAACAAACTGCTGTTTCGGGGCAGGCGCACACCTGCCCTGCGCACCACGCGCCTGGCCTCTGTCCTTTGTGGCCCAGGTGATGCAGAAGTCCTGTTGTGCCCCAGGATTTCTCCCGCCTGCCTGGGAGATGAGTGAGGTGACGCTGCCTCCTGCTTCTGTGAGTCAGAACTTGCCCAGCCTCCTCTTGTGACTGGAGCCAGGTTTTTATAGGACCCGAACGTCCCGTCCTGTGATGCTAGATCTGGATTGCACAAGAGACGGATTTTTACCTCAGGGCAGTTTGTGTTTGTCCTGTGTTTCTGACCGTTTCTGTTGCTTCTGAACTGCATTTCTGGAGCACAGAGACTCTGTTGTCCTTGGGACTTCAGGTGTAAACATCAAACCCTGACAGTAACGGGCAGCAAGCCTTTTTTCTTTCAGTAGCGCTTACATTTTAGTCCTGTGTGTCTGGCTTGTCTGAATGTTTTTTCTTTGTCCTACATTTGAGTTAAGGAGAACTGCTTTTGAGGCCTACATCACTTACTCCCTTCTCTGACCTCTGGGTATCAGGTTTTTTGTTTTTTGTTTTTTTAAAATTTTTTCTGAAATAGTATCTGGCTGTGTTGCCCAGGCTGGGCTTGAGCTTGTGAGTTCAAACCATCCTGTTCCTCAGCCTCCTAAGTAGCTGAGACTACAGGCTCACACCACTCTGTCTGACCTGGGTACCAGTTTTTAATAGGAAAATATTATAGATCTTAAAGGTTAAATGTCGTGCTTCCTTTAATACCCAAGAACTCAGCTCTTAAACTGTGGCTGAGCTGCTCAGTGCCTGCTTGTACCTGCTGTATAGTTTACGGCATTGGTCCTTAAACTGCATGTTGAAATTAATCTGGAAGACATTTTCCTTCTTTTGGTAGGGGCCACTAGGGATTGAACCCAGGACCTTTGCACTGAGCTAATCCCAGCCCTTTTTATTTATTTATTTGTTTTTAAATTTTCATGCAGGAACTTACTGAGGTGCTCACTTGTGTAGGCTGGGCTTACTTGCAACCCTCTTGCCTCAGCTTCCCAGAGTGCTAGGACTACAGCCATGCATGATCGTGCCCAGCTAATCTGAAAGATAGTTCTGGAATGAGGCTGGTGTGTCAGCTTTGTGAGGATGTCTTGGGTGGTGGAAGTTTGAGGTTCATCGTATGCATTACCTGCTTATAGGCTTGAGTTGTATTGACAAGTGTGGTAGTCATTAACATGTGTTGTTCTCCTATACCCATTTAAATTAACATTCTAACCAGTTTAATCTCCACAGTTGTACGAAATGTTATCATCCTCATTTTATAGGTAAGGAAATTCCGGCTCTGTAAGACTGAATAACGCTCTTGGGGCCCTAAGGCTCAGCTGTAAAGAATGTAATTGTCTTATGTACAGAGGACAGTTAAACCTTTCCTTCTTTTTGGATGAAAAAAAGTACTTTTGGATGAAAATGAGCAAATTGCTGCCTGGTGCCATCCCCAAGACTTTGATGTCAGGGTCACTTTCATTTTACCTATTTTTTTGTTTTTTGAAACAAGGTCTCAATATGTAGTCCAAGATGGCTTTTTTGTTGTTGTTGTTGTTTTTGAGACGGGGGACTCTCTATGTAGTTTAGAGTCCCTTGAACTCACTAAGTGGGCCAGGCTGGCCTCACATTCATGGCAATCCTCCTGCCTCAGCTTTCCAAGTACTGGGATTACAGATGTACACCATCATGCCCAGGTCCAAGAAGACTTTGAGCTCAATACATAGCCCAGGCTGGCCTCAGATGTGCAGCCCTCCTGTTAGTCACTTTGGCCTCATGAAGTGAGCTGGTGCATGTACCTTTTTCTCTTCTAGGGATTGATTTTCTGTATTGGTCAGGCTTTCTTTGCTGGGGTCAAATAAGTGATATGCGTACAGCTTAGAGTAAAGGTTGGCTGTAGTTTAGTCCATTTGGCCAGCTCTAAGGCAGAGATGGCATAGTGGAAGGGCCTAGCAAGGGCAACTGCTCATCCCACCATGGCCAGGAGGCAGAGAGAGCAGGAAGAGACAGAGATGGAGAGAGAGGGGAAGGAATCCAAAGGGCTCCCTAGTGACCCAGCACCTCCCTAGTGACCCAGCACCTCCCTAGTGACCCAGCACCTCCAAGTGGGGCCCTCTCCTAGTAGGACATTCAGCTAAGAACTCATCAACACTTTTATCTACTGATTAGCATAGCACCACCAAGATCCAGAAGCCCCCCACTGAACCCACAGGACTTCTGGGGGGGACACTTTAGATTTAAACCATTGGGAGTATGTGATCCCTCCCCGTGAATCCGGGGCGTTCATACTGAGCTACATCTCCTGCCCTTTCTGTTGATTTTTATTTTGAGACCAGGTGTCTGTCCTTGAGTCTTTTTAAGTTGCTGCTTGCAGGCTGAGCTTGAGTTTATTCGTGGGTTTGTACTAAGGCCCTGTGTGCCCTGCACTGGGGCAAAAACAAGTGTAATAGAAGCACTAGTTGCGGGCACCACAGGGAGGCAGGGCTCCCACTGTGATCACCCCGTGTAGGGGAAGGTGTTCCTCTGGCCTGGGCCGTCTCCCCTGCCAGCAGTGTTCTGAAATTAGGAGAACCTCCACTGATTTTCTAGTAGGAAATGACCTTGCCCTCCCTGTGGCTGGCCGTCTGTGTGCACTGCTGACTATGGTTTCTGGTGTCTCGTGGCTGTGTGGAGTACGGGTGGGGACCCCCACTCTCACCGAGGAAGCGGACTGGGCCTGAGCTCCCACCCCAGGCGCACCAGTGAGGGTCTCCTGTCCCTGCCGGAAGAGGTTATGTGGCCCAGAGGAGCCGCCTTCCCATAGGAAGCCAGGCCTGGGGCCCCTGCTGTCAGAACCCCAAATGACAGTAATTATTCCCATAATAAAGGGAGCCTTCCTGTTCCGGAAGGTTCTTTCCGCCCCTAAGCCTCTTGCCTTCCTTCTGAATAGCAACTTCCTGGTGACCAAAGACAGAAATGCTAGTTCATAGGGGAAAGTGGAACTAAGCTGTCACAACCCAACATAAAGGCTTTGGAGTTACCTGGAGAAGTTGTTACATCAGATTCATCTGTAAAGCGGAGTTGGTTTTGTTTTCCCCAGCAGTGAGGACGAATCCTGGGCTTTTTGCCTGCTAAACAGATGCTCTCCTACTGAGCTACAGTCCTAGCCTTTAAAAAAAAATTTAGGAGGCCCATGTGTCAGGGCCACACGTGCGGCCACCTGCAGCAGTGTCAGCTGTGAGTGTGGAGGGGACAGCGGCCCCCAGCACAGCGGCCCCCAGCTCCTGCGGGCAAACACGTCCAAGCACAGAATCTCAGCGCCGTAGGGTAAGTGGCACCGAGTTAACACGAAGCAGGTGGAAAGTTTAAGCCCAGAGCCTGTCCTCCAGAGTCTGAGGGTGAAAAGTAAAATAGAGTCTGAGAGGAGCTGTGCTCATCGCTCGGACGGCTGGGCTGTTCCCAGCTCAGGGCAGAAGCCCCTCAGTTTCAGAGAGGTTTCCTCACAGCTTTTTCCTTACTGTCTTCCTACTAGTACACACATTTATATTTGCTTATTTCTAGAAGGCAATAGCATTAAACTTTACTTTGAATGTTAGGTGGCATTGATTTCCTTAGAAATATCTTTGGGTTGGGCTGGGGGTGTAGCTCAGCGGCACAGCGCCTGCCTGGCAAGCACAAGGTCCTGAGTTCCATTCCCAGTACCAAAAAAAAAAAAAAAAAAAGGTGAGAAATGCCAGGCGTGGTGACTCACACCTGTAATCCCAGCACTAGGGAGGCTGAGGCAGGAGGATCGTTGTGAGTTTGAGACCAGCCTGGGCTACAAAGTGAGCTCAAGGCCAGCCTGAACTGCGTAGTGAGACCCTGTCTCAAAAAGACAAAGAAATATTCTTGAGTTAAATGCTTGCTTTCTTCTCCCTTTTCTTTTCTTCCTCTTTCTCTTTCTCCTTCTTCTCTTTCTTCTTTCTCTTGCCCTTCCTCTTCCCCTTCCTCTTCTTTCTTTTTGAAACAGGGTTTTGCTATTCAGTTCAAGTTAGACTTGAACTCACTTTGTAGTCCAGGCTGACCTCAAACTCTCAGCAGTTCTCCTGCCTCAGCCTCCCCAGTGCTGGGATGGCAGGTGTGCACCACCACGTCGGGCTGGGCTGAGCTGCTTTGTACATGTCCGGGATAGCGCTTTTGTGTGCAGTTCTCTTTCCACCGTTTGGACTGGTACAGGGCGCCCCCTTGTGGTGTGGGCTCGATTTCCCTGATGACAGGGTGGTGAGCGCGTCCTTTCGTGTTTATTTGCCATCTGAAGGTCTTCAATGAAATTTTTATTTATCTATTTTGCCCATCTTTAAATTATTTTTCCTTTTTTTAATGTTTTTCTTCTCATTTTTGAGTTTTAAGAGTTCTTTCTAGGGGCTGGGGATTTAGCTCAGTGGCACAGCGCCTGCCTGGCAAGCGCAAGGTCGTGAGTTCAGTTCCTGGTACCGGAAAAAACAACAACAACAACAGCAAAATGAGTTCTTTCTATTTTCTGGGAACACACCCTTTCCGCCATGAATATGTCTTTACCTAATCTGTGGCTTATTTTCCTATTACCTGAGAGTGGTCTTAGAAGACCAAAATCTTAGCTTTGGTGAAGACCAATTGATCAATTTTTGCCTTATGCAGTGTGTTTTTGCTTTACCTAAGAAATGTTTGTTTTAGGTTGCAAAAACTTTCTTTTATAGTAACACACCCGTGTAATCCCAGCTACTTATGTGACTGAGGCAGGAAGATTGCAAGTTCAAGCCCAGCCTCTGCAAGTTAGCAAGGTGTTGTCAGTGAATGAGCGAATGGCTGCAGATGTAGCTCAGTGACAGTGTCTCTGGGTTCAGTCGCTAGCATGCGTGCACACACACACACACCTGCGCACACCTAGGTGGGCATGCACACATCCGTCTTTTATGTTTCCTTTTAGAAGTTTTTATAGCTTTAGATTTACACTGGGTCTGTGATCCGTCTCAAGAAAATTTTTTGTGTGTGGTGCAAGATACAGGCGGCACGTGCTCCTGCTCCTCCCGCATTAGGGTGCGGGGTTGTTGCCACACTGTCTACAGACATGGTGTGAAGACGTTGATATCACTGTAGTTCTTTTAGTTTGGAAATTCCCTGGGTGCGGTCCCGGTCCCGTCTTAAAGAGAAGAAACCAATCTGGAATCTTAATAATACCGATGGTTAGTTACCGAATAAGCACCTCAGGCTTGTTGAGTTGTGTCTCATTCCATGCATTTCTTTCAAGGCCTCAAGATTCTGCCCTCCAAGAAAATCTCGCCATGATTGGATCGGACCCCCAGATAAACATTCCAACCTCCGCCCTGTTCACTTCTACATCCCTGAAAATGAATCATCATTGGAACAAAAGCTCAGGGAACTGAGACAGGAAACACAAGCATGGAACCAGCAGTTCTGGGCAAACCAGAATTTGAGTTTTAGTAAGGTAAGCGTAGGTTTCATGCAGAGTGAGAACTATCTCACTTGGCCGCTTGGTCGTGCTGAGTCTTTAGTATTTGTGTTGCCTTTCTGTTGCTATTTCTCAGGGCATGTGTGTACATGTGTGTGCAGAAGTTTTTTGTTGTTGTTTTGAGACAGTCTCTCTTTGTGACCCAGGCTAGCCTTGAACTCACTATGTAGCCCATGCTGGCCTTCAACTTGGGATGATCCTCCTGCCTCAGCCTCCTGAGTGCTGAGGTGTGTAGAAGTTTTAAAAACAATATGTGCCAGGTGTGGTGACCCATGCCTGTAATCCCAGCACTTGGGAGGCTGAGGTTGGAGGGTTGCTACGAGGTCAAGGCCAACCTGGGCCACACAGTGAGTTCAAGCCTGAACTACATAGTGATACCTTGTCTCGAAACAAACAAACAGCACCAGCATACAACTGTATATGAGAAGCATCAGCCTTTTTTTTGTTGAGAATTTTTTTGGTTTGTTTGTTTCTTGGGACAGGGTCTCACTACGTAGTGCAGGTTGACCTTGAACTCATTGTGTTGCCCAGGCTGGCCTCAAACTCACGGCAGTCTTCCTGCCTCAGCCTCCCAGGTGCTGGGGTTACAGGTGTGTGACACCCAGCTCACACATGACACTTTTAACCAAATTCAGATGCTTTCTTGAGCAGGTTTTGGGGTGGGCTGTTTCTCAGGAAATGCACAGCAGACTTCTCCAGAACAGGGTGAGCTGTGCTCCAACGGGAGGTGGTTCTGACGGTCTCTTCTTCTAGGAGAAGGAAGCCTTCATCCAAGCAAGACTGCAAGCCCGAGGCCTGGGCCTGGGGGCAGAATCAGGTCAGTGCATTGTGCACTCCTGGCTGACCCTGTTTGGGCCTGCACAGGAGGCGAGGTGGGGTGTTGAGTGGGGTGGAAGCTCCGGTGCCAGGCCTCCCCTCCTGCCTGCTGCCTGGTGTCCTCCTGGCTCTCTCCTCTCTGGGCCTCTTTTCCTTTGCTTGCTGCTGCTCTTCGTCTCTCCTGGTGTGACAGCCTCTCAGGGTTGGGGTCTCCAGTGGCAACTCCTGGCTGAAGTCCCAGGGCCTCTGCAGTCCCCTCCTTATCTGGTCACAAGCTTGAACTGTGGAGAGCCAGCAGCGTCCTCCCTCTCCGCCCGCTAGGGTGACTTCCGGAATGTTCTCCACCTCTGCCGCTTCCTGTGTTTAACCGTGGCTGGAGTTCGGGCCTGGTTAACTCTCGGCTGCTGCCCTGGTGCCCAAGCTTTCCCTAGTCTCCAGTCTTTCCCCTGGTACTGGGATTGTGCCCACAGGCTCCTCACTGAGCTGCTCCTCCACCCAGGACCTGCTGTGTAGTCCCGACCACAGTCCTCTTGCCTCAGCCTCTGAAGGACTGGGGTTACAGGAATGTACCACCATGCCCAGCTGTTTTTGTTTTTATCTTGAGCGAAGATCTCAAAGTTGCCTAGACTGGTCTCAGACTTGCAGCCTCCTGCCTCAGCCTCTGTAGTAGCTGGAGTGACAGGGTTGTGCCGTCATGCCTGGCAGGCTTCTACCACTTAAGTCAGCGACCATTGCCCTTGTTCTGTACAGAGCTGGTTTAGCCTCTGTGGGCCATAGGCGGTGTCTTTTGAACTACTCAATTCTGCTATTGAGTAAAACATAAACAAATGGGTTTCGATGTGTTCCAATAAAACTCTACTTACACAAACAGGCCCTGGGCCAGATTTGGCCTGTAGTGTGGATTCTCAGGCCCTGCTGTTAATCCATTCTTTGCATTGCACACAGGCTGTTCTGTCCAAAATACATATCTGGGGGCTGGGGATTTAGCTGAGCGGCACAGCGCCTGCCTGGCAAGCACGAGATCGTGAGTTCGATTCCCGGTGCCAGAAAAACAAACAAACAAACAAACAAAATACATATCTGTCAGTTGCTGCTCAGTGTGGGTTCCTAGACTCATGGCTGCAGAGCAGTGGTGCCTCTGCTGCTCTGGACAGGAGGCCTGTCTGGCCCTGCTCGCGCCAGGCATTCGCTGTGCCGGGGAACCGTGCTGCCTCGGACCCTTCCATTTACTGTCCTGTCGTTTCTGTTGGGCTAGAATGTCGAGTGCTCAGTAGCCTTCGGCCATTTTCTCTTGGTGTTGATGTCGGGCCCTAGTAACATTTAGTGCCAGTTGTTTTTCATCCTTTAAATCAGATTTTATTGGCACTTTTTTTTTTTTTTTTTGGTTTTTCTCTGGTACTGGGAACCGAACTCATGACCTTGCGCTTGCCAGGCAGGCGCTTTTGCCGCTGAGCTAAATCCCCAGCCCCATTATTGGCACATTTTTAATGGTACATTTAGATATATGGGATGATCACACTCATGGTAGAGATAACTTGACTTTCCCCTCCCTTCCCCTCCCTTCGTCGTACCAACTGTTGAGCGGCGTGCGCTCTCACGGCCTTGTGCTGATGGGACGTCCAGAACCATTGCCCCGAAAGCCAGTAAGCTAACGTGTTGTCATAACGCACCATCTGCCCCCTACTAATCCCAAACCTGGCCTGACCCTCTGCCATGTGCAGTGACCAAAGTGGGAGGGACCAGAGGCTGGGGGCGGGCGCCCCACTGGTGTGGACCTGGGAGGGTCCACGTCTGGTCCGCTGCTGGCCGCGTGCGTGCGTGTGTGTGTACATGTGTGTCGAGACTAGCCACTCTCCTAGGAAATGGATGTGGTTGTTCTGAGTCTTATTAAATCTCAGAATCCTGTTGGTGTCCCTGCTGAGTGTTGAAAGCTGGCCTTAAATCAGATTTTACTGACGAAGTAGGACGGACTGTATTGAGGAGAGGGAGGGTGGAGGAGGCTGGGGAGCTGGGGCCTCAGGACACAGGGACGGAGGGAGGGGACCCGTGGGGCGCAGTGGTGGCCGAGGTAAGAATGCGTGGTTGTCCTGGGAAGTGCTAAGTATGGATGGAAAACATTCCTGCCCAGAGGTGACAGCGGTGTGGGCTGGTTAGCTACCTCGATTTAGTTGTTCTGCAATGGACATGAGCTCCGAAACATCCTGTCGTATGTGGTAAACGCAGTTTCATCTGTCACTGTAACAAGTCACGGGGCTGTGGTGACTGCCATGGAGGTGGGGTGGCCGGTGCGTCCCCTCCATGGCCGGAGCATCTTACACCTGCATGCACTTAATTTGACAGCACGAAGGTGCCCAGAGCTGAGGGAAGAGGTTTGTTTAATAAATGATGTTGGAGAAATGAATGACGTTCAATCTAAAATATCAAGTTCAGATTTATTTTCCTACAATAGCAGTACATTTCAAATTGGTCAAGAAGTTTATTTTTAGGGATTAATTTTTTTTTTGGTACTGGGAATCGAACTCACGACCTTGCATTTGCCAGGCAGGCGCTTATGCCACTGAACTGTATCCCTGGCCCATAGGAATTAATTTTTTATGGATGAAGGAATTAAATACATGACTCCTAGTTGCAGAAAGTCTACAAAATAAAACTGACTCTAAAAAAACCCAAAATGCCTCTGTTTTCCAGAAAAGGGATAATCCCCCTAAGCCTGGCAGGAGGAGAGAAACTGAAGAACTTGTGGTCATGGGCTTTCCGTGGCTGTAACAAAACATGAGGCCCTTAACACCAAGGGCATCTGAGCTCCAGCTGGGTGTGCCTGCTGGCTGGGGGGGCTGTCCCCTTGGGGCCAGGAGCAGCCGGGGGCAGACAGTATGCAATGCCCAAGGGCTCCACTAGGCCCCACTCCTGAGGTTCTGCCCTTTCCCAGGGCCCCTGGAGGACACTGCAGATGGCGAGCCGGACTGTCCGGGCCAGTCCAGGACAGCGGGCAGGGCCATCTCAGCACTCCTTCCTTCTCAGGGAAACTGCTTCAGGCTGTGCCTGATCCAGCTTGGTGCTGTGGCTGCCCTGGGAGGGCAGAGGCGGCTTCTGGGGAGGGAGCCAGGCTGGTGCCAAGGAGACACTGGCAGGCGGCCTGGAGAGAGCAGAGGGGGTCAGCGTCCAGCTCCTTGCGACAGCAAGTGGGCAAGTGCTTGCCATCTGGAGCTCTCACAGCGTTGCGTCAGCTCCACGCCCATCTAGCCGGACCGTCTATGGAAAGGGAGCAGGTCCCGACTAAACTCCCGTGCACCCGAGGCACCCTTTGTGCTTTCGGCAGTCCCAGGTGTTTCTGCGGGGAGACTCAGAGCTGCTGGTGTGACCTTGGCAACCGTGGTGGCATGAAGTCCCAGCCTTTCCCGAAGGGTCTGACCACACAGGCAGCGGGGCGCGGCCGAGGACTTGTCCTGGGGCGCTGTGTGTTCTGAGCGCGGTTCTCCCAGTGTGAGGCTCCGCAAGTGTCCCAGAGCCCAGTGAGAGCGCGTCAGCCGGCGCGGGCTGCACACCCCCAGGGTGGCGCCCCACAGCTCTGCAGTGGGATGGAAAACTGCTGACTGATCCCACATGCAGCAGCACAACTCTGATTTCAGTTCTGCCTGGCCCCGCATTAAATGTCGCTTGCTGGGCGGGCCGGACAGTGGGAGAGTGAATTCCTTCGTCTCCTTTCATCCCTGGAACAGGGCGGCATCCTGAGGGATTCGCTTCATCAGCTGTTACTTTTGAAACACCCACATCTCAGGGCTGTGCAGCGAGCTGCGCGCGCCCCTCCCCCTCCTCCCGCCCCCGCCCTCTTCCCTCCTCCCGCAGCCCTCCCCTCAGTTGCTGTGTTCTGTGACAAGTCTGTGCTGATGGGTGTGGGATGGGGGGTGACCTAGCAGACGTTTGCAGGCCTCCTGCTTTCTGCTGAGCTCTGGCCTGAGGTCTTGAGGGGGTGGCCCAGCCTGTTCCCAGAGCCCTGCCCGCCTCCGCTGGTCCCTTGTTTGCCCCGATGGCAGCCGGTGGCCATGACAGCCAGACTCCTGCTGCCTCCCCAGCAGAGCCTGGGCTGATACGGGATGCTGGTGTGGTCACATGGCCGGATGAGGAAGCAGCCGGCAAGTCACGGGTCAGGCCACGAGGCCAGCAGCGGACAGAGCCTGGCCCTGTCTGTCCAGTGGAGCAACTCTGACGGTTGCCGCCGCAGGGGAGAGCAGCTTTCCTCCCTGTTCCGTCCCCTCAAGCGCGTGAAGGCCGAGAGATCCAGGAGGCTGATGCCGGACACAGCTGTCCCAGGGGCCCCCGGAGACTTCACCCTGACAGCTGGCCCTCTCGCTCTGACACACGCCCTGGTCCTGATTGCCTTGTGGTCTACAGCAGCCCCCTCGACAGGACCCTGCCCCCCTTCCTCTGGGAGCCCCTCGGGTGGTGGGCGCCCCCTCCTCTGTCCGAGGAGCATCCATCCTGACACTGAGCTGAGGTCCCAAGGGCGGGGCATGGCCGGTTGGCCCGCAGAACTGCAGCACAAGCAGGCACACCCCGTGTGTTCCCAAGAGTGCAGGTGTGGCCCTGGGGAACTGGCCGCACACGGGGAGCACTGGCCAGGCCAGGGGCGAGCGCACGGGGACATGGGTGCTCAGATAGGATGGTTCTGTTGCCAGATGCTTGAGCGAGGGCTGGCTGAGGTCCTGCCGTGCAGCGGGCCCGTGGTCAGCTCAGCGCTGATCGGGCTCAGGATGCTGCAGAGAGGTCCTCGCTGAGTTGTAAATCACAGACTGTGAAGTTACACTGATCCCAGCTACTGAGTTACGAGTCTGGGCCCAGCCTGAGCAGCAGAGACCTTGCATGTTTTTGGTGTCCGGAGTGTAGTGAGCTACACCCCCAGTGGTTTTAGTTTTTATTTTGTAGTAGGACTTAAGTTTTTCAGGCTGGGCCCAAACTTGAGATCTTCCTGCCCCAGCCACTGGAGTGTCAGGGTTACAGCCAGGGGGCTCCACACCCAGCTCAAATAATTAATATTTATTTGTTTTTGCAGTACTGGGGATTGAACCTAGGACCTTCAGACTGAGCCACATCCCCAGCCTTTTTTAAGGTTTTGAGACACTAAGTCACTAAGCTGCTCAGCTTAGGCTCAAATTTGTGATCCTCCTCCTCAAATTTGTGATCCTCCTCCTCAAATTTGTGATCCTCAGCTTCCCAGCATGCTGGAATTATAGGTGTGTGCCACAATGCTCAGCATCAAATTTATTATGTCTCTTATTTTTTTTTAAATCTTAAATCTTTTTCACCTCTGTTTCCAAAAGGAAGAGTATAGTTCTATCGCCTGCACATTGTCCACAACCCCTGCACCAGGCAGGGCAGGGTCCTAATTACTTTTTATACTATAGACGTGGAATTGTTTTCTGAGCTTCATTTCGGATTCCTTATTGCCAGTATATAGAAATACAGTTGATATTTGTGTGTTGATGTAGTATCCTGCGAGCTTGCTGAATTTGTTTTTTAGCTAATCGTTTTTTTATTCTTCCCTGTAAGCCTTAATGTTGATGTTGAAATTTATTTTCAGGTCCAAAAGCAACGCTGAGTGCAGAAGACATGGCTGACTTTTACAAGGAATTTCTCAGTAAAAATTTTCAGAAGCACATGTGTTACAACAGGTGCGTGTTTCTTTCCTGAAAGTCCCAGCGTCCCGGCCAGGTCAGGCAGCGTTGTTTTCTCACCTGTGCTGAACACACCAGAGCTTGTATCAGATGGACACATGGCGTGATTTCATCCACATCACTTTGCATTTTGTCTTTTTTTTTTTTTTTTTTTTTTCCTCCGGTACCGGGAACCGAACTCACGACCTTGCGCTTGCCAGGCAGGCGCTTTTGCCGCTGAGCTAAATCCCCAGCCCCCACTTTGCATTTTGAAATAAAATTGAGGGCTTCAGGCTGTGTGCGTAGGGCCTGGGGCGTGACTTTGGAGCACTAGCCTGGGTGACCTTCCTGGGAAAGCCTCCAGCTGGCTGGGTGCGGTGCGGGCAGAGAGATCTGGCCTCCACCTGCTGGGACTGCGACCACACCTGTGGATGGAAACAGTTGCTTTGTGTCATGATGGAACCGACAGAAGCCCACGGTCGCGGCTGGTGATGACCAGGCTGCCACATCTTGGAAACTGAGAGACAGGAGGAGGGAAAACCCTGGAGAACACCCGGCCTCCCCGGCCGTCGTGCCGGGGGGGTAGCGCAAGGCAGCTGTGGGAAGGGTGGCGGTCAGCAGGCACCCTTCCCGGATGCAGTAGCAGGTCTGGGCGGCACCGAGGAAAGCTGAGAGGGACGGAGCAGGACGGTGGGGACCTGCACCTGGGCCGAGAGGCCACCACTGGCCGGCAGCACTGCGGCCCGGAGGGGGTGTTCCCACAGAGGTGGTGATTCGCGTGGCCAGGGCTCCAAACCAAGGCAGTTGACAGGGAGCAGGGAAAGGGGTTGAAGCGGGCGCCTGAAGATGCCGTCAGCCAAACCCAAAACGCTGGAAGTCCTAGGGCACCCGACCTCTTGAGGGTAGCTGGAACGACCGCGGAGGGAGGGGAGCTGCTGTGCACCCAGCGGGAGGCACGGGGGCGGGACGGTCTGGGCCGTGGCGGAGAGCTGTGCACGGAGGGTGCCACACGGTGACCGTGCACTGTGTTCCTGAGCTCTTGCGTCATTTTTGTCACTGTGTCTTTGAGCCAGGGTCTCGCTGTGTAGCCCAGGCTGGCCTTGAACTTGTCATCTTCCCTTTTCGTTCTCCCAAGAGCTGGTATTACAAGTGGGATTACTACGCCCAACTTCAACGTATGTTTTTAAAAAGGTTTTTTTTGTGCCAGGAATCAAACTTGGGACCTTGTGCTTGCCAGGCAGGCGCTGTGCTGCTGAGCTATTCCCCTAAACAGGTTTTAGCTGGTTACAGACACACAAGGCCCTGCACGTCCAGGTGGATGACGGGCTGTGACGGCTGACATTTGCTCGAAGCGTAGCACTGACGGCTGGGACAGGGCTGGAGGATGGGGTGGGCCGCTGGCTCTGGATGAGCGCGTGAGGGGACCGAGCCACGTAGGGTTGTCTTGGGTGTCGTGTCCTGCTTGTGCAGCTCTCCGGAGAGCTCGGAACCAGTGTGTGCAGAGCCCGTGAGTTTGTGCCCGACCCCACAGGCTTTGCGGGGGCCGCGCCCAGGGCAGACGGCCCCCTGGCCTCAGCATCATGGTCGAGTCCCCATACCCAAGCTGTGCCCGCTTTCCACGCACCCGAGGCCTGGGCCGGCCTCCTGGTACCTGCTCTGCGTGGTCCCGGGCCCCTGACGCTGTCCGCGGTGGTGGTGTCTCGCTGGTGGCCTCGCAGGCAGGTGCCGCGTGTGTGCCCGTGCCCAGCGTGTGTGCAGCTCCTCAGAGGCAGCTCCCCAGAGCTTGTCACCCCGAAGAGGATGTGGAGCTCTGTGCGGGCAGCACCTTTGCCCAGAGCTCCGGGCCGGGTGGGTGAAGAGCAGTCCTTGCTGCCTGCAGGGCCAGCAGCTGTGGGCCTCTCCGTGCTGTGTCTGCAGGAGCTGGGCGGCTTGCTGGGGAGTCTCCTCAGTGCCGACAGGAGGGACAGGTGGACGTGGGAGGGCAGGTGGCGAGCAGCAGGCCCAGCAGGGGTCTCTGTGGGAGCCCTGTCCCATGCACCTGTCTTACTCCCCACAGAGACTGGTACAAGCGTAATTTTGCCATCACCTTCATCATGGGCAGAGTGGCCCTGCAGAGGATTTGGAACAAGCTGAGACAGAAGCCAAAGCGGACGAGCTGTTAGCCTGCCCTGGCCCCAGCGTGACCTGCCCAGCTGGCTGCCCCTCGGGAGGGCCTGTGGCTGACCGGGTCACCCACGTCTCAGGGCAGGGCCAGCTGCTCCCGCCTGACTGGGCCCGGCCGGCTGGTTGTCACGATGTGTGAAATGAAGCTCTGGTGCTGCATGCCCGTCTTCTGTGTCTTGAATCCCACTGAATCGAAATAGAACAATGTAAAAATGTTAATAAAATTTCACTTGAAAGTGCCAGGTACTCAGGAGGATCATGAATTCGAGGCCAGCCTGGTAACTTAGTGAGCACCTGTCTCAAAGAATGCTACAAATGGTGTGGCACACTGTAATCCCAGCACTGGGGAGGCTGAGGCAGGACGGTCACTGAGTTGAGGCCAGCCTGGACTCCATAGTGAGTTCAAGGCAGCCTGAGGTATATAGCTAGACTCTGTCTCAAAAAAAAAAAAAAAAAAAAAAAATTCTACAAAGGGCTGGGTTATAGCTTGGGGGTGGGAGGGTGTGGCTTTGGGTTCCACCCTCAGTAGCTCAAAAGCAGAATTAGCCCTGAGTGACGGGAGTGGTGTGGAGGTGCTGCCCTGTGATGTAACAGGTGTTGGGGTTCTTGGGGTCCAACCCTGGCCAGGTCCGGCTGTCCTGGGTGCAGGCAGGGTCGGTGCCTGTCCCAGAGCGGTGGCAGTGGAGGGCACCGGGGCTGCTCCCGGTTTGTGCTGTCGCCCCTGAGCTCCCGAAGGCACCACGCGTGCCCATCCGCACGGGAGACAGCTGGGGCCTGCGAGGATGGAGGGAGGACCGCAGTGGGACGTGCCCCGGGCCAGCGGGACGGTCGTTGTGCCGGGACCTTGAATGTCCCCAGGGCCTGTGCGCTGCAGTCTTGGTCCCCTGCTGGGAGGTGGTGGACCGTTTGGGACCTGGAGTTGCCCTTGAAGGGGACATTGGCCCCCGACCCTTCTCTCATTGCTTCGGGCTTGTGAGGTGAGAAGCCCCTCCCACCCTGGGCTCCTCCGCCCTGAGAGCCAGATGAGTTTCCTCCCGCAGGCCGGTCCCAGGTGTTCTGTCAGGGTTGGAGCCCGAGGGGCACAGTCCCTGGACCGTGCCTGCACTGGTGGCCTCTGGCCTCGGCAGGAGCCGGTGACAGCACAAGTCAGAGGTGCCCCCCATGCCGCTGCTCCTGCCCCTCCCACCTCCCCCGCTGAGGTCCCGAGGGCCCCGGCAGTTGGGACGAGAAACCCAGGCAAGCGCCAGGCCAGAGTGGGGCAGGTAGCGGTAGAACCAGGACACCCAGGCCTGGCAGCGTGGAAAACGGCCTGTCCCTCCCTGTCTCCCCGTCGTCCTCGCATGTCCCGGCCCCACCGCCTCCATCAGTCGGGGCCGCCCACAGGACAAGCTGCTGTCCAGCAGTGGACAGGGCCTTGGCCGGGCTGCAGGAGCTGGGCAGGGAGGGCAGAGCCGAGGCCCCACACCCACCCCTCAGAGACGCTGACGTCCTGTGCTCAGGATAGTGTGGCTGTATGAAATGGGTGCCTGGGAACTTTCCCTCAGGGCCGTGCGGCGGAGCCCCAGCCCAGCGGCACATCGGGAGCTCTGGTGCCCTGGCACCAATGGGCGAGACGAGCCAAGTGGACCAGGGCAGCCCCAGCCCCCACGGGTCCCCTGGGGTTGTCCCTCTAAAAACGCAAGAAAGAAGAGATTAAATGATAGTGGTAAACGTTACTTTAGATCACAAATTAATGCAACTAAATTGTAATTGAAGTTATTTTGACCCTAAAATACATATGCTCTGCTTGTTAAAAAATTGAGTAAGATGATTCTGTATTGTAGTCATGTTCAATAAGCATGTGTTGTGGCTTTTAAATGCCTACAAAATAAAGGCTGTCTGTCTGATGTATTTTATACTAATTTCCCAGCAAAATGCTTGCTTGATGAAATTCTGTTGTTTTTAAGACAGGGTCTCACTATGTAGGTCAGGTTGGCCTTGAACTTGCTATGTAGCTCAGTCTGGCCTTCAATTCATGGTGATCCTCCTGCCTCAGCCTCCCAAGCGCTGGGATTACAGGTGTGTGCCACCATGCCCAGGCAAATTCTAGATATTTTTATATTAGACTGTATAATTGTGAGTTTAAAAGTCTTACATTAAGAAGAAAAAGTCTGAACATTAAAAAGTAAAATGAACTGGCTGTGGTGGCGCACACCTGTGATCCCAGCACTTGGGAGGCTGAGGCAGGAGGATCACTGATTCTAGCCCAGCCTGGGCAGTTTAATGACTTAGAGCAGTGACAGGAACCTTTTAGAGCTTTCAGTGACACGGACCCTGCTGCAGCACGTGTGCCACAGTTCACCACCACTTAGAGCCTCAAGAATTAAAAAAAATAAAATAAAACTTTTTTGGAGACAGGGTCTCACTATACAGTGCAGGCTGGTCTTGAACTCACTGTGTAGCTGAGGATGGCCTCGAGTTTGCTGTCTTCCTGCCTCAGCCTCCTGCGCAGCTGGGCTTACGGGTGTGTACCGTTAGGTCAGTGCCTCAGCAGGCCTCCATTTAATCCTGTTGTACACGGAGCTGTCTGCCTGCAGCCTGAGCCTCCTTGCTGGAGACAAGACACCCCTTGCAGAGCCCTGGGTGCGGCCCCTAGGGCTCCAGGCTGTGTTTGCAGGACGCGTAGATTGCAGCCTGACAGCAGCATCCTCCAGGAAGACCCAGGGAAGTCTTGAGCAGCACCTTTGGGCTCCAGAGGTCTCCGGGCCAGCCATGCCGGACAGGCAGTGGAGAAGCGTGGCGCAAGCCCTGCAGTCCTGGCCAGCCTCTGTCCCTGCGGGCGGCAGAAGCCTGTGCAGAGACCGGCTGGCCCGAGTCTCGGAGTCCTGCCGTCAGCGCAGTGGAGGGCAGGGACGGCGCCGAGGCCGGGTCAGCACCGTGGTTCTGAGCGTGGCGCTGGCCTTGTAGTCTGGCTATTTCGGAGTCAGTGGGGAATGGTGTAGCCAAGCTTTGTGTTTCCGGGTGTTTTAACTACCAGAATTTCTTTATTTCTGATTTTTTTTTGAGAAGAGCAAAATAAAAATAGCCATACTTTGCTGACTCTGAAGTTAAAATTTAACAAAGCCTCTATAGAAAACTGAAGCAGCGGGCAGCGTCCCAGAGGAGACTTGGCTTCCATAGCCAGGCGCGTCCTGTTAGACCCTCTCTTGCCAGCTACTGGCGTGTGGGGCTCTGGCTCCTGTGGCACTTGGCCCCCCTTGGCCCACTGGGGCTCCCTTTTGTGCCCGCATCACTTCCGTTTCCCTTGTGGCCGTGCTGGGATTCAGCCCAGGCTTCACACGTGCTGACAAGTGGTGTACCACTGAGCTGCACACGTATACAACAAGCGTGCTTGTACCTTTTTTTTTTTTTTTGAGGCAGGGCCTCAAGGTGTAGTCTAGGTTGGACTTGATCACACTGTATAACCTAGGCTGGCCTCAAACTTACGGTGATCCCCATGGCCTCAGCCTCCCAAGTGCTGGGATTACTGGTGTGCAGCACTGCACACCTGACCCACACCCCTTTTAAAATGATCTTGTTTTGAGACGGTCTTGACAAGTTGCCCAGGCTAGCCCTGAGCTAGTGATCCTCTTGCATCAGCCTCCCAAGTAGCAGGGATCACAGGTGTCCGCCACCACACCCAGCCTTGTGTTTTTTAGGCAGTTGCCTGTTAACATATCTTCTGAATTTTGTGCTGGGGTGCCTCAGTTTCTCTCCGAAGCCCATGTTTTGTAAAGGTCTACAGATCCACCTTCGTCCTGGACAGCAGTGTTGTGTGTGTTCTGGCCATCCGCTGCTCCTGCTGGCCAGCTGCCCCCGAGCATTTGAAGGAAGCAGTAGCAGAGGAATGGCCAGAAACGCGCACCTTCATCGAGCAGACACGCAGCACCTGCTCTGTGCAGGGCATGGGCCGCCCACAGTCAGTTTATTGTTCTCACACACACAGACTCACACACACAGATACTTAAAGACTAGCAGGATTTGGAATAAGTGAAAAAAATAACAACTAAATGAAGAACCCACCAGACTAGTTTATGGAGCCAGCTAATGTGATTTTCACAGTTATATTCCTAATTAATCATAGGTTTTAATTATACCCTTCGTGGGGGGTATAGCTGTATACCCCAGGCTGGCCTTAAACCCATGATCCTCCTGCCTCAGCCTACCAGTGCTAGGATTTCAGGCAGCCGGCCAGCCTGGCTTTACTTATATTCTTAATTTTCAATTGAAACAGCTCCAGTTACAATGTACAGCAATCATAGCTAAGTGCTAGTTAACAAATTGTTTTCTTGGGCTAAGAGGAAGCTTCATGTCAGCATGCTGGCCTAGCATGCATGAGGACCTGGGCTCCATCCTCAGCACTGAAAAAATAAGCAGATTTTCTTTCTCAAAGAAAGGAAATAGCTGCCAGGTGTGCTGGTGCACGCCTGTAATCCCAGCACTCAGGAGGCTGAGGCAGGAGGATTGTTGCGAGTTCGAGACCAGCCTGGCCTACAAAGTGAGATCAAGGCCGGCCTGAACTGCACAGGGAGACCCTGTCTCAAAGGACAAAAATAAATAAATAAAATAAAGCCAAACACGCTGCTCCCTGCAGCCTAGCAGGTGTGCCCCTCGGTGCTGCAAAATGAAGGGAGAACTCGTACCTGCACAGAAACTTGCATGTTTCCTAAAACTGAGTAGCAACCAAGATCCCATCCTGTTGGTGGCACATCCAGACAACGGAGTGCTATTCAGCACTAGCAAGAAATGGGCCAGTGAGCCAGGGAAAGAGGTGGAGGAATTTGAGTGCACATTAGTACGTGAGAGGAGCACCCCTGTAATCCCTACTACTTGGGAGGCTGAGGCAGGGGGAACCACAGGCTTGAGGCCAGCTTGGGAAGTTTAGTGCCTCAAAAGGGCTGAGGATGTAGCTAGCACTCTGGGTGTTTCATGTCCCTATGGAAACAGGCCGATAAGGCTGCGTTATGTGTAATTCCCACTCCAAGGCATCTGGAAAAGGCAAAATACTCGGCCAGTAGAGATTGGTGGTAGAAGGACCTGGGGGTGGTGCTGGGCCAGCGCTGAGCCTCAG